CTATAACAAAGGGACGTTAAAATTATTATTAATCGATGCAATGCACTAAATACGTTAATGTAAATATTATGCATTAATGATCATTCTAATGACAAAAGGACGCAGATGTAGGCTTTAAGAAAACTTTACTCAACTGAGAATACAAGGTTCGCGTTTAGTGTCCTTTTATAGACCCAGTAAACAGAGCTCTCTCAAAGAGGAGAGTAACAAAACAAGGGGAAACCACTCCTGATTATTCATAACAATCATACATATTTGTAAATATGTTTTTGCGCAAACAGGTTTTATTTTTACTGGGACGGTGTTGAACAAGTTCTTATCTATCTAGGAATACTAAAAGAAATTGTATAGCATCATATGTAGCAGATTGTGCGTGCATATGTCCCTAATGATATTTCTCATAGTAATTCTGTATTGTTGCTTCGTAGTGAATGCAGTTTTAGAGACGAACAGACACAGCGCACGCATTCAATATGGATTACAACAGAAATAAGAGTATTTGTGTTTCGACGCTATGTTATTTTTGTCACGTATGACTGGAAAACAAAATATGAACGGAACTTGAGGGAAATAAAAAGAATTCCATGTTAAAATATCCGCTTAAACAGAGAAATTTAGAAACTCTACAGAATAATACTTTTGGCAAAATTCAAATTAAACCTACACGCCCTACCCTCCGCACACACACACACACACAAATAAAGAAAGCTGTAAAAAAAAAGAAATGTAAAACGGATTTGGAAACAAAAGAATTTTTTAACTGACAAAAAAATAAAATGGAAAAAATAAAACGCTCAAGTTAGAAAGAGGCAGTAAAATGGCGAATCTCATCTGAATGGTTTTAGTATGTCGTGATTTAGAGAGCAAATACATGGCGTGAAAGTTCTGAGTTTTTCTTTGTAGGAGGAGGAAACAAAATGGCGATTTTGGGTGTAAGGTTGGATCTGGAGGTGAGTAGATGTTTGAGGAGGCTGTAACTTATGGGCATAGAAACAAAACTTCATCCATAAATGAATTGGTAATTTTATCGAAACTTTTTTTAAGCAACCACATGAATCTATAAAAAGGAAGGTATGTAAAGTAGACAGGTAAGATAATAAATAAAAAGGCAATGCAAGAAGATAGATGGACTAAAAAATAATACTGAGATTGACAAAATTAAAGAAGCAGCGATAAAAGGGGAAAAACAATAAAATAAAAGAAAAAAAATGTAAGAAAAGAGAAAGAATGAAGAATTGCAATAAAGTAATTCTAAATAAAATAAGTGAACAAGACGACATAAAACGCAGATTACCTATTTAGGACCCACACATCATATATATATATATATATATATATATATATATATATATATATATATATATATATATATTAATCAGTTTGTCTGACGATCGCTAAAGCGTGAAACCCAGGGTCACAAACTCACATCTATCCAACCAAATATATATATATATATATATATTATATATATATATATATATATATATATATATATATATATATATATATATATATATAAGAATATTTGCAGTCAAATGACCACGAGCATATTCATTGAATACGACTAACCAAATTTCTCTACGTGGTTTTGATATACTTTTTATAATTTGTAGACTCGTTCTCGCTTTCTAAATTTATTAAGCGAACAGTTAAACAAGATTATAATATTAATGGAAGATGAAGGGGATTGAACCCATGATAGTAATAAGGATTTAGTAAGATTACTTTACTAATCCTTGCGCTATTACAGATTCCCAGTATATTATGTGTGTATGCGTGCACGTACCCACGCATGTATTGTTTTTAAAATGAATAGCGAGATAGAAATTCGGTAGAAACTCGAATTGATTTGTAGCAAACAGAACAACGATCATGATTTGCTGTAATAGAAATGGTGTCTGGAGAACCCCAAAGTAGGCATCTATCAAAGGTTTTGATGACTGAAGTTAAGTAAAGGTCTGGCTTGGTATTCTTTTATATAGTTATCGATCTGTATGTATTCAAGCGATTTATAGAGATAGAGAGACAACAAAACAAACACACACACGTATATATGACTATTTTCTATTTGGGCATCAATCTTTCCATAACACATGTTTCGTTAAAAATGATTGACAAGATAATTTTTTTTTCAGTTTTTCTACTGTATTTTTCGTAAGCTTGCAAAAAAGACATTTCTTTTGTACTCGGTGAGTGTAGAAATCGTTCGCATACAAGACTAATGCAGTAAAAAGAAACAACAAAAAACAATGAAAGAATTGTCATTATACATACATATATACATAAATACATACATACATACATATATATATAAGGTCCTCCCGTAAGTTCTGTCCGAATTTTGAATAAAGAAAACAAGTGACCAAATGTTACATTTAATTACAGATTCAATCAACAATATATTTTCCCTGATTATCTATGACTTCCTTCCATCTATTAACAAGCTTACTAATTCCATTACTGTAAAATTCTTTTGACTTTGATTTGAAGAACTCACAAATGTCAGTTTTAACCTCTTCCTGTGATACAAAAGCTGTTTCTTCCAAATGATTCTGTAAGCTACGAAACAAATGGTAGTCTGAAGGAGCAAGATCAGGAGAATAAATGATAACCAAGTTCTTCGATCTTTTGTGACGGATTTTGCTGTCTGGGGTCGCGCATCCTGGTGAAACATCACCTCTTTTCGATTCACTACAGGAGAAACGCTCTAATTGGACAGTATATTTGAGCATTAATTGTTGCATTAGGTGGTAAGAATTTTGAAAGAACTCCCTTCTCGGCTGTGACTGGGATCCTTCCCTTTACCAAGCCACTCCCCAACCTAAAAAAAAAAGTTCTTCTATCCCAAAAAGGAGAGAATGAGCAGATGTCTTTTTGTTTTCAGACAATTCATGACGTTTAGGAACTTTTCCAAGTTGTTGAAGATGACGATGAACAGTTGTATGGTTTGAACTGAGAACCACTGCCAATTCCTCAACTGATAAAGTTTTCTTCAAAGGTGAAAAACTCAACTGGACGTCCGGTTCTTTTCTTCAAGGGTGAAATTCACCTCTGAATTTTGAAACCATCTTCTGCTTTCATTCACACATTCCTCTCCATAAACTGGTGGGGCCGCTTCAGCTGTTGAGTTTCCTTTCTTCAACTAATAAAGCATTATGTGCCTCAAATGATTCTTGGTACTTCCATGTTATTTTTAATCAAACAAAACAATTTTATTGTTCTCTGAAATAAAATTTGATCAGTTTAAAAAAACATCAGTTCCATTAGACATTATACAATGTTCATTTTAACAAAAATTAAAATTGACAGAAAATGATGTTTATATATATATATATATATATATAAAATCAGCGGCGACTTCTTTGTTGAATCAATATACCATTGGTATAACTTGGATGTTAAGATGGTTTCTTTTTTAAATATATAATTTTTAAAAATATATGCATGCAAAAAAAAAACACATTTTGGATTCTATAAAATAAAAATTAAAAAAAAAAAAAATTTCCAAACATGTAAGATAAATAATCTATTTCGAAATAAGTCTATGCGTTACATGTATCTATGTGAATTTTTTATTGTATGTTTATGATCAGTAATGCTGAAAATATCATATTTCCTCAACACTACCCCAGCCGTTCTCCCCCAGCCCTCCATTGACGAGTTTTATAGTTTTTGCCATTTAAGGAATTTAAAAAAGATACTTTTCAAATTATTTGAATAAATAATTTGCTTTCAAAACTGGACATACAAGTATTAGACAAAATACATGACTATTAAGAATGTCTTTTCGATCTGGCTCACAGCTACTCAGCCCGACTAGCCACATTAATTTTATTTCATTCTTTTTTTTTTTTTTTTACATTATGAACAATATCAACGAAATGTAATTATTTTGAGGTACGGAGTTAAAACAATTAATTTTGGAGTTTTCCTTCTAAACTGGCCGAAAATGAAAAACAACGGACGCCCAAAACAAATATAGTCAGAACTCTTATCAAGGTCTGATAAGACTCCAAATGATTTTATTTTTTAAACTATTTAGCTAAATTATATTTGGAGAAAATAGTATCTTTTGGTTATTCGGAATTTATTCATACCTTTTATGAAGAAAATATACAGAAAAAAACAAACAAAAATCTTAATATACAATTATGAACGTCGGACGTTTCGGTCTATTTTGCAACCATCATCAGGACATATTCATAAAACATAATTAACATTAGAACATATAAAATTCAACATGAAAAGACGATGATGGACGATAAAAATTTTTATATAAGGCGTTCCGTTTAAATATGATTAAGCGAAACAGAATTCCAACAAATAAATCCCTTGTTCGTATACTTGTTTGGTGGGGGAGGTCTCAAACGAAACCAACGAAAAAACTCATAGGAAAAATGTGTTTTATAGTGGTGAAGGCTTCTATTGAATCAGCCAAACATTTTGGAAGAAATGATAACAATGAAATAGTGTACAGTATGGCCTAGAAATCTCGGAGCCGTTCTCCTCATATTTTATAGTCATGGAATTTAAACTTTTCAGAATAATGCCAAAGCCTTTAGACAATATGTACTTATACATTACATGGCTTGAATTCTGAGTTTTCCTTCTAAACTGGCCGGACGCCCAAAACAAAGAGAACTCGGTCTGCTCCGATATTTAAACTATAGCTGGAGAAAATTCATGCATACCTTTTAGAAGGGCATGGACGTAAAGGGAACGAAACAGAATTTGAACTCGGTACTTGAGGTCTCAACCCGTATAGGAATTTATGTTGCCTTGATGTTTAGACGATACATGTTCACTCAGGGTGTTACGCCTATATCGTCTTTCCTTGATTATATGTTCCTTTATTAAAGGCGCTATAGATAAATGTTTTCTGGGTTTTGACCTTTTCCACCTGATAGTCAGGTATCCGAACACTGGATTAACTTCGAATGAGGCTATTCTGTCAATGGGTGTATATCAGGGCTATTATACTGTTATTTTGTGAATTGGTT